TAGACTGTATTTTAGGCCATAAAGCAACTCTTATCAAATACAAAAAAATAAAAATGATATAATTCCTTACACTTATCAGATCATAATGGAATTAAATTGGAAATCAACATGACAATACCCTGTAAACACATGGATTTTGGACAATACTCTCCTGAATGATGAATAGGTAGTAGTAGAAATCAAGGGAGATTTTCAAAATCCTTAGACTCAAATGACAATAGTGATACAACATACCAGAACCTCTGGGACACTATGAAGGCAGTTTTAGGAGGAAAGTATATACGTATGAGTGCCTGCATAATAAAATCAGAAACATCCCAAATAAATAACCTAATGATGCATCTCAAAACCCTTGAAAAAGAATACTTCAATTATAAAACCAGTAGAAGGAAGGAAATATTTAAGATTAGAACTGAAATCAATGAACTTGAGAATATAAAACAATACAAAAAATCAGTGAAACAAAGAGTTGGTTCTTTGAATAGATAAACAGGATTTATAAGCCCTTACCAAACTAACAAAAAGGAAAAGAGAGAAAATCCAAATTAATAAAACTAGAGATGAAAAAGGGGAAATCATCATAGACATCACAGAATTCCAGTGAATCATGAGGACTATTTTGAAAACTTATATTCCAATAAATTGAAAAACCTAGAAGAAATGGATACATTTCTAAACAAATACAATCTGCCAAAACTGAATCAAGAGGACACAGAAAACCTAAACAGACAAATAACTTGTAATGAAATAGAAGCACTAATTTTAAAAAAACTTTCCAATAAGAACAACAACAAAAAAATCCCAGGACCAGATGGATTCACAGCTGACTTCCAACAAACCTTTAAAGAAGAACTAATGCCAATACTCCTGAAATTATTTCATGACCCATAGAATGGATGGAACAATTCCAAATTTGTTCTATGAAGCCAGACTCACACTCATACCAAAACCAGATAAGGACACATCAAGGAGAGAAAATTACAGACCAATATCTCTAATGAACTTAGATGCTAAAATACTTAATAAAATATTAGCAAGTTATATTCAACAACATATTAAGAAGACTGTACACCACGACAAAGTTAGTTTGATTGCAATTTGAAATGCAAGGATGGTTTAATATATGCAAATCAACAATTGTAATTCATCATATAAATAGAATTAAGGACAGAATTCACTTTGTCATCTCAATATGTACAGAGAAGGCCTTTAAACAAATTAGTTTGCCATCCATTCATGATAAAAACACTAATGAAACTAGGGATAGAAGGAATCTATCTCAACATCATAAGGATTATATATAAAAAATCCAAACCCTACCTCACTATAAATGGGGAAAAACTGAAAGCATTTCTATTAAAATCTGGAACAAGACAAGGATGTTCACTCTAACCACTCCTATTTAATATAGTACTAGAAATTCTAGATAGAGCAATTAGGCAAGAGAGGGAAAAAAAGGGATAAAAATGGGAAAAGAAGAAGTCAAAATATCACTGTTGGCAGGTGATATGATCCTATACCTAGAAGATCCAAAAGCTCCACCAAAAGACTGCTAGAGTTAATATACAAATTAGACAAAGTAGCAGGTTACAAAACCAACTTATAAATCAATAGTTTTCCTCTATTCCAACAATAAATCTACTGAGAAAGAAATCAGGAAAAATTCCAATTACAATAGCTTCAAAATAAATAAACAAAAAACCTGTAGGAATAAATCTAATCAAAAAGGTTACCAAGTCCTCCACAATAAAAATTGCAGTACATTAAAGAAAACCTCAGAAGATATAAAGACTTCCCAAGTTCATAGATAAGCAGAATTAACGTTGTTAAAATGGCCTTCCTTCCAAAATCAATATATACATTTAATGCAGTCTCCATCAAATACCAATGACTTTCTTCACACAAGTAGGAAAAACAGTCTTAAAATTCATTTGAAAAAGTAAAAGACCCAGGAATAGCCAAACCAATTTTAAGCCAAAAAGCAATACTAGTGGCATCAAAATACCTGACTTCAAATTATACTACAGAGCTATAGTAAGAAAAACTTCATGGTCCTGGTATAAAAACAGATACATAAACCAATGGAACATAACAGGATACACAGAGACAAATCCACATATCTACAGTCATCTGATCCTCCACAAAAGTGCCAAAAATGCACATTGGAGAAAAGACGCCTTTTAAACAAATGGTGCTGGGGAAACTGGCTATCCTTATGTAGAAGAATGAAGCTGGAACCTTATTTCTCATCCTGCACAAAAATCAACTCAAAATAGATCAAAGGTCTAGGAATTAGACTATGGTACTCCTAAAGAAAACTGTGCTATCCTGGAGTCAACACTCCAGCTTTTAGTGACACACAATGACTTTCTCAATAACACACCTAAAGCTCAGAAAAGAAGGTAAAGAGTTCTTTAATGGGATGCTATCAAATTAAAAAGCTTCTGTACAGCAAAGAAAACAATTAGGAATGTGAAGAGGGAACCCACAGAATAGTAGAAAATCTTTGTTAGCTACTCTTCAGACAGAGGATTAATATACAAATAATTCAAACCCTTACACCAAATAAACAAATAACCCAGTTAATAAATGGGCAAGTGAATCAGACAGACACTACTAAAAGAAGAAATATGAATGGCTAACAAATATATGAAAATATGTTTAACATCATTAGGAATTAGGGAAATGCCAATCAAAACTACCCTGAGATTTCATCTCACACCAACAGAATGGTAATCACTATGAATACAAATAATAATGAATGATAAGATGCAGAGAAAAAAAAAAAACACTTTTATACTGTTGGTAGTGTGGTAAATTAGTATATCCCACTATGGAAATCATTATAAAGGCTCCTCAAAAGACTAGGCATGGAACCACCATATGACCCAACAATACAAGTCCTCAAAATTTATCTTGAAGAATTAATATCTTGCATATCTTATCTTGCATATCCATGTTTATAACAGTATAATTACAATAGTCAAACTGGAACCATCCTAAGTGTAATGTGGTATATATATATATATATATATATATATATATATATATATATATATATACACAATGGAGTTTTATTTTACCATAGGGAAAAATTAAATTATGTCCTTTGCAAGAATATGGATGAAACTAAAAACCATTATAATAAGCAAAATAAGTTAAACTCATATGAGGAAGCTAGAAAGGAAAAGGGAAAAGAAAGGAAGTGGATCTCATGAAATCAAAGGGAGGTCAGTCGAAAAAAGGGAAGGCAGGGGAGGCAGTGAGGGAGTGAGGAGGTAATGGGGAGTAATTGTGGTCAAATTATATTATATTTTAGTATTGTTTGCATATACAGATATGTAACAACAAATCCCACCATTGTGTACAACTATAATGCAACAATAAAAAATGTGGAAAGAAATGCAAAGGCTGAACTCCAGATGTGTCCTAGTAGGAATACACTTTATTCTTTGCCTTGAGAGAGCCATTTCTTACATCTACTGGTGCTAACCCAGAAGTCTGGATTCCTACATTCCTGTGCTCAGTGAGCAAAAGGACAGATAGTGTGGCCTAGGACGGAAATCGAGTTAGAACTTCTAAGTTAGGGAAAGTGAGAGGGACAAGAAGAAGGAAAAAATTGTCAGTTTTAAAATAAGCCACCAGTGGCAGAGCAGTGAGGTTTATATTCAGAGCATGAAGTGGACTATTGTTATGTTGCCACTTCTCATGTTTTTTACTTTTGTTTTGTTCCCAAGGAAGATTTGTTTGGATCAGCTATTCCATGATTAGCACAGAGAACATACTTCATTGATGAATTTGGCTCTTAAAAATAGAACTTAGTTCCATGAACTTAATTCAGCATAATGTATTGATGAATTTGGCTCTTAAAAATAGAACTTAGTTCCATGAACTTAATTCAGCATAATGTCTTACTCTAATTAAATCTCTCAGGGGCCCTTTTTCAGTTGTTTAATGAAGCATTTAAAAATTCATTGATACACTTAATATTCAGGTTTTTGCTTTAAAGTTTGGAGCTGCTTAAATATTGGTTTGACTTTGTCATTTGCATACTTAATTTTAAATCTTTCTAGAATTTAAATGTTTTCTTATAAGGAAATGATTAGGTAAACATAAATAATTTTGGAGTATACGGTGTTATTAAGATTTCCATTGCTGTGACAAAATACCTGAGAAATTCAACCTAGAGGAGGAAAGATTATTTTGGCTCGTGGTTTCAGAGGTTTCATTCCATGGTCAGCTAGCTCCATTACTTTTAGGATTGCAGTGGGATAGAAAAATCATATCAGAAGGACATTGAGAAAGCAAACTGATCACTTCATGTAAGTCAGAATGAAAGAGTAGAGAAGGAGCCAGGAACAAGATACACCTCTCTATAATACACCTCTAGTGACCTTCCTCCTTCAGCCAGGCCCCACCTCCACTAGCACCACAGGCCATCACACTTTCAAGTACATGGCCTTTGAGACACATTTGATATCTGTATCCTCACCATCACATCTGCCTGGTTGATTGAAGGTCCATAACACGCAGAGATGTAAAGTTTGGAACCATATGTTCAGAGAAATTCCTCCTGTCACTGACAGCTTGGTTCTGTCCTGTTTGGTAATAAAAATGTTACAAACTTTAAAATTAAAGAAAAAATGCAGGGGTACATGCAGGCTGTCCCTGAAAGAAAGTTGTGTTGTCATATGCCTTTCAGGACAGACAAGTCTAACCTTTACCTCTTTTTCCTACTTTGTGTTTTGAGTACTTTTCCTACTCTGAACTCTTATTAGGAACTTACTTGACATCTGATTGGAATGCAGGTGTTCATAGTGTCTTCCTGCCATTTTAGGCTCTAAGGTTGTTCTTATCACAGTGGTGTGGGCTGTTCTTTGGTAAGGAATCTATTCACTGCAGCACAGTTTAAAACAGTCTTGCTTTAATTGTATTGTTATCTAGGGTTTACAATCTCGTTTATGTAGACAATCAACTTACTATTGCTTTTTTCTCTACAGAAGGCAAAATCTCTGAAGATGTCTTCTAATAATGACCAGGTTGTTATCCCAATGCTACGAAGACACACCAATGGCCTTCCTGAGATGATCTCTACTGATGGGGAGACAATTACCCAAGGAGCTGTGTTGAGTTTTCATAACATCTGCTATAGAGGGCTAGAGAAGAGAGGCTCTCTACTGCGACGAAGAACAGTTGAGAAAGAAATACTATCGAATATCAGGTATGTGCATGAACTTTTTAAAAAAATCACTTAATTGACCTACCATGAACCTCACAGGCTTTGCCTATAACCAATAAGCTGCTGTGAACATTTGTATATAAGTCTTTGTAGAGACATGTAGACACATGCTTTCTTTCCTTTTGGATAAACTAAAGACTGAAATGATTGGATCACTTGTTAAGTATGTTTAACTTTGAAAGGAACTGACAAATTCTTTGTAAAAATTATTCCTTCCTGTGTTTGAGAAACCAAACAATGTGTCATTTAGTTTTGAAGTGGGAACTAAAGTGTGGAGAGAAAGGAGCATGTCTGTAAAACTTTCTCACTGTCAGGTATCTCAATTAAATTGCATATGCTAGATATTGGGTTGTTAATGTTTTTCTCATTTCTAGAGAACAGAGGCTATAATTTCCTTCCACAGTGACTGGAAGTGAATTTTGTTTTGCTCAGACAGCACAACATACAAGTATTTTCTGTTTATTTATTTAAAAATAAAATCGTTATTCCTAGAGCAAGTGAGCAACTTTTTGGGGGGGAGTCTCCAAGGCAGGGGCAGGGGTTTACAAGAGGCCTTTAATCTGGTGTGGGCATGAACCTATATGGAATCAGATGTTTGTCCTATTTTCTTGATATTTTGTATGTGACTGTGATCTTCTGTGTTAGTAGCAGCCATCTTCCTCAGAGGCAAGGAAATGTTGAGGATCAAATATGTTTGCATGTGGGTGAGAGCAAAATATCAGGATCTGAATGATGACTGAGCTGAGGCCCGGAGCACTGTGCAGATTGGAACTCTCTCCATGCTCTACACCTGGCATCATGTCTTCCTGTCTCTTTCTTGTGTTGGTTACATTCTGACTAGGAGAATAATAGTGGATGCAAAACTGTCATTTTTAGCTGCATGAATCAATAGAATTGACTAATGAACAGTTGAGAGCATTTTGTGAAACATAATCAAGAAAATGTTGGTACTTCAGATTTTGTGGTGAAAGAGGCAGAAAGTAACAGGAATTGAATACGGGCAGGTTTGAATAGCTGTAAAGTGCACACTGTGTGCTTATATGTTCTAGCTAGCACCTCCACGCACCGTCTCCTCTAATCAAGGTTCACCTTGAGTGTGCCTGAATGGTGTACTTCTTGGCAAAGGAGGAGGTCATCATCTAGTGCTTTCCTACTGTCCACACTGCACTGCATTTGCTCCCCTCCCTGTGTCTCTTTCCTTACTCATCGCCATTAGTTTTTTTGGCAATCATTTGAGAGCAGGCTGTTCATGTGATGCTCCTTCACCCCTAACTCCTTCTTAATTAGTTTGCAAAAAGAAGGACTCTTTTATGTATAATCACCAGTTGTTTTCTGGCAATAGCTGAGGGGAAATATAGCCTCAGAATGAAGGAAGGAGGGGTCCTCAGGGCTGCCCATCACCTTGCTCCTCACATAGCTGACTGGCCACCACATCATGTCTCTGCAGGCTCATACAATCTGGTATTTTTTGTCCCATCCCCTCCTGGTGATGGTAATATTTATCACCTGGCTGTGTTGCTGTCTGCAAACTTCACCATAATGCCGCCATTTTCCTCTTTGGACATTATTAGTATTATGAGGGCAGATGCTCTGACAATGTTTCAGAATCCTGCTCCTCATTGAGCTGCAACTCACCAGCTTCAGTTCCCATTTGTGGGTGCTGTCTGGATCAGCAACACAGTGGTAGTAATTTTTTTTATTTTATCATCTCATAGTTTTCATTCTAGTAGGGACATAGTTTCATTCATGGTCCTTTCTTTCATTTATTGTACTGACTCATGGATTCCTACTTCATTCAACAGCATTCAATACCAATGCATGGTTATGGTTATTTATCTTGATACACCTATTATTCCTGGTTTGGTCAGTGGAAAATCTTTCCAAGTGAGTTCCCTTTGTCCTTTTTTATTTTGACTTATCCTCTAATTATTTGAGGACTTCCTTAGCACTGCTAGAAGTTCCAGACTCTAATGTGCATGTTGGTAAGACTTGAAATTTCACCTACTCGGTAGGCTGAGGCAGGGGGATCACATGTTTGTAGACAACCTGGCAGCTTAGAGATAGCATGACTCAAAAGAAAATTTAAAAGTGGCTGTGGATGTAGTTCAAAAGTAGAGAGCTTGCCTAGCATGAATGAGACCCCACAGAATTTCCAGGCTCACAGTATAATTACCTTGCCAGACCTGGGGCCAGCTGCTGTTCATTCCTGTGGAGGATGGTATTTACAAACCAACATCTGAGTGTTTAGAATGCTCATTGCTATTGGTGTGTCATTGCTCCTAGGTTTTCTAAATGAACAGACCTAGAGAATATATGTATGCATGTACACACACACACATGTATACACATACATTTATAACATTGTTTAAAAAAAAAAAAAACTGCGTCTGTGTGCGCACATGCACATGGATCTGGCCAAGAGGGGTAAAAGGAGTGGTGGGTGGAGTGATTGCTCCCACAGCACCTTGGGAGTTTTCCATCTATACTTTTCTATAATTCTCTGTATAGATTAAAAACTATGAGTTCTCATTAATGCACCAATTCCAATTGAATGAGATTTTGTTCTCAGAAATTTTATAGTCTAATGGTTGCACAAAACTAGAGCATTTTTACTGTGTTATTCTGGCATGATAGAAGGATTAAAAAGTACAATGTCAACTTGTAACCCTAAATTGAAAGTTTTAAGATCATGGAATTTGAGAAAATGGATATGTTGAGTGAGCATGTGTATAGGGAGGTGGGATATGCTCCAAGAATGTCCTTGACACCTCTTTTCCACAAACAAAACAAAACCAAAGAATTAATCACTGTTCATTAAAATGTAATGGATGTGACAGGAATCCTTAAGGAGAGTTTTATTTCACACATTTATAATTCAGTATGTTACTTATTATGGGAGATGGACGAAGGATAAAATAGTGACAGCGTGACACAGTTCTTGTTCACAATCTCTTCACAGTATAATAAGGAGAATCAATATATACAAACACCATAAAGCAATAAACAACAGTGAGCCATGACTATCTTTCTTCCCTCCCTCCTTCCCTTTCTCCTCCCTCCCTCCCTTCCTTCCTTTCTTCCTCCTTCCTTCCTTCCCTTCTTCATTTATTTCCTTCTCTTTTTTTCTGTGGATCAAAGTCAGGGCCTTGTGCATGCTATGCAATCACTTTACTATCCAGCTATGTACCCAACCCTTTTTATTTAGAGACAGTGTATTGCTAAGTTTCCCAGGTGGCCTCAAATATGCTATCCTCCTACCTCATCTTCCCAAGTACTTGGGAGGCATGGGCCACAGCACCCATCAGTGGTAGAGCTCATGCCTAGCATGTGCAAGGTCCTGGGCTCAATCTCCAGTACAGGGAAGGCTTGGGGGCAGAGGGTAGGGTGGGGAGACCAGGGAATTGTGGAACTTACACTAGAACAGAGACCAGCAAAACACGTTCTCTGAAGGGCCAAATAATAAATTATTTTGAACTTTTTGGGGCATTCAACTGGGTTGAAAATAAATTCTGCTTTTGTAGCATGGAAACAACTATAGATACTATATAACCCAACAAGTGTGGTTCTGTCTCAAACCACTGTTTATGAAGACACGGGTGACCTGCTGTAGTGTTGCTGTTTCCTTGGATAGAATATCAACTCTGAGAGGGATAGAATCTTTTTCTTTTTGTTTTTCTACTTTTTTTGTTTGTTTGTTTGTTTCATTCTCAGCTCTATCCCATGTCATGGAAGAGTGTCTTGTCTGTACATCATACACACTTAATGTTGTGTTGTGTCATGGAGGTGGAATTAGCCACTGTTCTACTTTGGAACCCTTGCATTTGTGATTGTACATCATTGTTTTCTGTTAACGCTAGAGTTTAGTGTCAAAGCAAGCAAATTTATTCGTCTTAACCCATCCAAGTTCAGTTTAATTCAGAAATAATTCAGGATTACTTGGTCTTTATTTGACTAGGTATTACAAAAATCTGGAAAACTCAGGCTGGGGTTGTGGCTCAGTGATAGAGCACTTGCCTAGCATGTGTGAAGCACTGGGTTTGATCCTTAGCTCCACATAAAAATAAATAAATAAAGATATTGAATTCATCACTAAAAACATTATAATAATATTTTTAAATATCTGGAAAACTCTTCTGGAAGTGAAACCTTAGTAAATCTCAAACTTGTTTGGTCATTTCAGAAGCAGAGGCTAGGTAGCTATTAATAAAAAAATAAAAAGATGCACTAAGTGTTACAAGAGAACCCACTTTGACATTTCCCAGTCATTGCTATGTCTTCCCATTGGGAGGTGAAAGGCTACTAAAGAATAAGTGATATTCCTGTTACAGTTTGTTCCAGGGTTATGGAATTCTCATTGTCTCTGATGTTTCAGTGAGAGGTTCCTCAGTTAGTGAGCAAAGTGAAAGGTGCATTTCACGTTAGTTTCCAGCAAGTCATAGTATAATGGTGACAGATCAGGTGCCACAAGTAAATGAATGCTAAGGCCCTCTTGGATGTGAGCACTGTGTGGAAGTTGTGCTGGGAAATTTATAACCTCTGTGGGAATCATCATCTGAGAATGAAGTAGCTGTCAGCTTTGATCTTGCATGTGGAATAAATACTGTTTTCTATGTAGAATACATCTTTACCTCTGTACAATTTTAAAGGAAGACTAGATGTAGACACCAGCATTCTGAATGGGCTAAATGAGGCCTCTGTTTCATCATGCCTGTGTACCCACAGTGGCTCTGCTATAATTTTTTTTCCTTCTTCCTACTCCATCTGAATATTCACTACCCTCATGCCTCTGTAGGAAATTTACTTATGCCTGGATGTCCTTAAACGACATCACCTGATAAGTGATGATTCCAATTCTAAAATGAGCTCTTGGACACTTAACAAAGAAGGAGCTGATCTATGGTGAGGGTGTGTTTCCTTTTCTAATTGTTGAGACTTTTCGTTAGTGTTAAGCACCTGTGATGCTTTCTTATCCTCTGGAGTGCTCCATTCTAGCTTTTCATTTCTACTTAAGATATGTTGGGTTTTTGTCTGATGAGAGATTAGCAGTGACATCACTACTTCTCATAGTCTCCAAGTCAGTGTTTGATGGATTGTTTAGGGCTAGCTAGGTAGCAAATGAGGTCAGTGGAAGATACTAATCATTGAACAATTCTCAGAAGCTCTCATGTACTTCTACACTGTGCTGGGAGGCACTGACTTTACTGGAGAGAATCTGTTACTTATTTCAAGGAACTTTTGATGTTGTTGCTGGGGATGGAGCCCATGGCCTCCTGCATGCTAACTGCTGTCTCTGCAACTGATCTATATTCCCAGGACAATTTCAAGGAATTTTTTAGATGTGTCATTTTCCAAAAGGGATAAGTGACTTAGAGAATAAATGAAAGGATTTTAGAGGAACCTAGCCATCTTTCTTGTAGGTATTGCCTAGGACTGACATCTTTTGTATACTGAACTTCTATTAATCATCAATTCTATTTTTTTCTCTTTGATTTGGTACTTGTTTACTGTTTGCTATTTCATCAGACTTTCTTGAGTGTATTCAGTGCAGACTACAAAGTAATAGAGAATGAAATGAAACAATGGGTCATTTTTTGTGTTAAAATGGAATAATGAGTCATTTTTTGTGTGTGTGTTTCCAGTGGGATCATGAAACCTGGCCTCAATGCCATCATGGGACCCCCAGGTGGAGACAAATCTTTGTGAGTATAACAAAATATAAATAAGCTTTTTCTGTGCAATTTTGGTATGCTTTTTAAAAAATCACTTTACAGCTGGGCATGTTGCTGCACACCTGCAATCCCAGTGGCTCAGGAGACTGAGACAGGAGGATCACGAATTCAAAGCCAGCCTTAGCCAAAACAATGCACTAAGCAACTCAGTGAGACCATGTCTCTATGCAAAATACAAAATAGGGCTGGGGATGTGGTTCAGTGGTTGAGTGTTTCTGAATCTCTGGTACCAAAAAAAAAAAAAAAGAAAAAAGAAAAATCACTTTACAGAGTAGGTGTTGGTTAAGCCTTTGCTGTACATTTCCAATCTGGTCCTATGTGCTGGAGATAACATGCAGTCAGACTGGCTTATCCCAAGGACCAGAAAGTCCTATTAGGCCACCTTCACTCACACAGCATAAAAGGTGATTGACATAAAGTTGTTGGACATATTATAAAGCAATGTGGATGAAAAAGTAGGGAATAATATTAAAAGTGGGGAGAAGAACTGATACAACAGCTAGAATGATATCACTGTCCTAAAAAGGGCATACTGCCATTCCTCTCTACCTTTCCATTTAATTCCACTGTCAATCTTTGGTTGAAGATAAATCTTAGAAAAAGGAGCACATTGCCTGGTTGGATCCTCTAAGGTCAGACAGCCGAGGGAATCACTTGAGAGGTCTGTGCTGGACAAGCTAAATTTTTCTTGAATTTTTATTTTTGAGCTTTTTGTAGTAAGTACATAATGAAAAGGAAGGTGACAATTGTGTACCTATATGGGTATAGATAAAATTTTAGTTATACCATGTACTTCTTTTTTTTTTTATTGTTGATTGTTCAAAACATTACAAATTTCTTGACATATCGTATTCCACACTTTGATTCAAGTGGGTTATGAACTCCCACCTTCACCCCATACACAGATTGCAGAATCACATCAGTTACACATCCATTGATTTACATATTGCCATACTAGTGTCTGTTGTGCTCCGCTGCCTTTCCCATCCTCCCCCCTCCCCCCTCCCCACCTCTCCCCTCCCCTCCCCTCCTCTCTCTCTACCCCCTCCACTGTATAACCCTGAGGGTCTCCTTCCATTTCCATGCAATTTCCCTTCTCTCTCCCTTTCCCTCCCACCTCTCATCCCTGTTAAATGTTAATCTTCTTCTCCTGCTCTTCGTCCCTACTCTGATCTTAGTTACTCTCCTTATATCAAAGAAGACATTTGGCATTTGTTTTTTAGGGATTGGCTAGCTTCACTTAGCATAATCTGCTCTAATGCCATCCATTTCCCTGTAAATTCTATGATTTTGTCATTTTTTAATGCAGAGTAATACTCCATTGTGTATAAATGCCACATTTTTTTTATCCATTCGTCTATTGAAGGGCATCTAGGTTGGTTCCACAGTCTTGCTATTGTGAATTGTGCTGCTATGAACATCGATGTAGCAGTGTCCCTGTAGCATGCTCTTTTTAGGTCTTTAGGGAATAGACCAAGAAGGGGAATAGCTGGGTCAAATGGTGGCTCCATTCCCAGCTTTCCAAGAAATCTCCATACTGCTTTCCAAATTGGCTGCACCAATCTGCAGTCCCACCAGCAATGTACAAGTGTACCCTTTTCCCCACATCCTCGCCAGCACTTGTTGTTGTTTGACTTCATAATGGCTGCCAATCTTACTGGAGTGAGATGGTATCTTAGGGTGGTTTTGATTTGCATTTCTCTGACAGCTAGAGATGGTGAGCATTTTTTCATGTACTTGTTGATTGACTGTATGTCCTCCTCTGAGAAGTGTCTGTTCAGGTCCTTGGCCCATTTGTTGACTGGGTTATTCGTTTTCTTATTGTTTAATTTTTTGAGTTCTTTGTATACTCTGGATATTAGGGCTCTATCTGAAGTGTGAGGAGTAAAGATTTGTTCCCAGGATGTAGGCTCCCTATTTACCTCTCTTATTGTTTCTTTTGCTGAGAAAAAAACTTTTTAGTTTGAGTAAGTCCCATTTGTTGATTCTAGTTATTAACTTTTGTGGTATGGGTGTCCTATTGAGGAATTTGGAGCCCGACCCCACAGAATGTAGATCGTAGCCAACTTTTTCTTCTATCAGACGGCATGTCTCTGATTTGATATCAAGCTCCTTGATCCATTTTGAATTCACTTTTGTGCATGGCGAGAGAAAGGGATTCAGTTTCATTTTGTTGCATATGGATTTCCAGTTTTCCCAGCACCATTTGTTGAAGATGCTATCCTTCCTCCATTGCATGCTTTTAGCCCCTTTATCAAATATAAGATAGTTGTAGTTTTGAGGATTGGTTTCTGTGTCCTCTATTCTGTACCATTGGTCCACCCGCCTGTTTTGGTACCAGTACCATGCTGTTTTTGTTACTATTGCTCTGTAGTATAGTTTGAAGTCTGGTATCGCTATACCGCCTGATTCACACTTCCTGCTTAGCATTGTTTTTGCTATTCTGGGTCTTTTATTTTTCCATATGAATTTCATGATTGCTTTCTCTATTTCTACAAGAAATGCCGTTGGGATTTTGATTGGCATTGCATTAAACCTATAGAGAACTTTTGGTAATATCGCCATTTTGATGATGTTAGTTCTGCCTAGCCATGAACAGGGTATATTTTTCCATCTTCTAAGATCTTCTTCTATTTCTCTCTTTAGGGTTCTGTAGTTTTCATTGTATAAGTCTTTCACCTCTTTTGTTAGGTTGATTCCCAAGTATTTTTTTTTTTTTTTGAGGATATTGTGAATGGGGTGGTTTTCTTCATTTCCATTTCAGAAGATTTGTCGCTGATATACAGGAATGCCTTTGATTTATGCATGTTGATTTTATATCCTGCCACTTTGCTGAATTCATTTATTAGCTCTAATAGTTTCTTTGTAGAGCCTTTTGGGTCTGCTAGGTATAGAATCATATCATCTGCAAATAGTGATAATTTAAGTTCTTCTTTTCCTATTTTTATGCCTTTAATTTCTTTCGTCTGTCTAATTGCTCTGGCCAGTGTTTCGAGAACTATGTTGAACAGAAGTGGAGAGAGAGGGCATCCCTGTCTTGTTCCAGATTTTAGAGGGAATGCCTTCAGTTTTTCTCCATTCAGAATGATGCTAGCCTGAGGCTTAGCATAGATTGCTTTTACAATATTGAGGTATGTTCCTGTTATCCCTAGTTTTTCTAGAGTTTTGAACATAAAGGGATGCTGTACTTTGTCGAATGCTTTTTCCGCATCTATCGAGATGATCATATGGTTCTTATTTTGAAGTCTATTGATGTGGTGAATAACATTTATTGATTTCCGTATATTGAACCAGCCTTGCATCCCAGGGATGAATCCTACTTGATCATGGTGCACAATTTTTTTGATATGTTTTTGTATCCGATTCGCCAGAATTTTATTGAGGATTTTTGCATCTAGGTTCATTAGAGATATTGGTCTGTAGTTTTCTTTCTTTGAAGTGTCTTTGTCTGGTTTAGGTATCAGGGTGATGTTGGCCTCATAGAATGAATTTGGAAGTTCTCCCTCTTTTTCTATTTCCTGAAGTAGCTTGAAAAGTATTGGTATTAGTTCCTCTTTAAAGGTTTTGTAAAATTCTGCTGTATACCCATCCGGTCCTGGGCTTTTCTTAGTTGGTAGTCTTTTTATGGTTTCTTCTATTTCCTCAATTGATATTGGTCTGTTTGGTAAAGAGCTTTCAATTGTCTTAAACTTCAAATATCATCAGAGGTTCAAGGAGTTTCAAAAAAGGTAACCTCCACTCAGGACTAGTAGGGTTCTTGGCTTACACGATGGCAAAGAATTTCAGCATGTGCCAGTCAGAGACACAGACAAAGGAAGCATGGCACATTCAAGAAACGATGTGGGCTTTCTCAAAAGTGAGAAGCTTATGGAATAAAGCAAGGAACACACATTCAAAGGAGAATGTAGGCCATCTCCAGAGAGAGAAGCAGCAATCTCTGGCTATAACAGGGGTCCATTCATACAGGGACAGTTTCTAGGGGAGAGATTAGAGGTGGAGCAGTTACACAACTTTGCACCAATTCCCTTATCTTTGCACATTGCCCTAATGTTATTTTGTGTAAGCAAGGACATGGATCAAGAGCACAGGCCAAGTGCACAGTCTGGATAGCTCATGAGTGGCAAGAGTTCATGGGCAATTTCTGCACCTCAAAGGCTCATGGGTATCTCCTGCATTCCAAAAGTTCATGGGTGCTTCTCTTTTGAGACTCAATCTAGTTTTCTTTTTCTGTATCCCCTAAATTCCTATCTCACACAAAACCCAAATATCAAGGAGAAATATTTTGAGGTAGAATTCTCTGGAACATTTCAATACAGACCCATGTTTGATAGATCTGTTTTCAGATCTGCACTGGTGGATTAAATTGTCACACACAATTTTAACATTTTCACACTTTGGCAATTGTGGTGATTTAAAACCCATATGGAAGCTCTTTGTCAGTGACTTTCCAACCCTCCACCTTCTCTCCAATAATGATCATAACTGCTCCCTTCAGTCAAGCATTGTCCCAACTTTTCATTGTAAATAACTCAACTTCCTATCACTCCTATTTTTCCAGTTTCCTCCTTCCAGTAAGACATTCTAATTGCACCTCTCTTACTCTCAATAGTTTTAGACATTTGGACACAGCTAGATTTTCACATGGTCTAGAGTTCATCAGATACATCCTAGGGAAGCTCAGACGGCCTTTAGTCCAGAGTCTAGGAAGGGTAAGTTTGGGAGTAACTTTTGTGTTTAAGGTGCTCGAAATCCAAAAATCCTTGATTTGCCTAAAAGCAGAGCTTCCACAAAGAACTCAGTTGCCATAAATCCCTCCCCTCAGGAGTAATCAGGGAAGAGTAACTCTTACCAGACATCTTCACAAAACTATCACGTCTCACATCCACTGTCCTAAGGATCCACTCATCTTACAGTCGTAATAGGGGCCGGTTGCATGCTGCTCTGCCACTGCAATTTATTTTTAAAGTGGTGTGTTTTTTTTTTCCCTTCCTCTTTTTTTCTCTGTCCCTCCCTAACCACAGAGGAAGTAAGATTAACTTTCTTCCTATCCAAAGCTGAGATTCTGTATGTTGGCTCACAGACCACCAGGAATGAAGGAATCCAGTCTTAGGGTTTGGCACTGGAGGTTCTAAGAAATAGCTACCTCTCAAGGCTACAAATGAATTTTGACTCCTGATGGGGCAAAGCTGGAGGGTAGCCTTTGTGTATCTCTTGTTCCTCCTGGCAGTTAGAATCACAGCCTCTGAAATAGAAGTCTACTGTGTATTCTTTGCTAGCAAAAGGGATTTTTTTTTCCTTTTTCTCAAAACTTTTTCCATATTTTTGGATCAGCATCAGGGACAAGGCCAGAGCTTTCGGTATCAAAATGATTTGTTTTCATTTAAGTGCCCTTCTCCCAGCACCCCTTCATTATTAAGATGATAAATAGGCCCCAAATTCTAAACAGTACTGTGGGACACCACCCAAAAATTATTTGAGCCAGGAAGATTTTGGTTTGGCATTGCAAACTATTTTGTGGCTCCTCCCACTCAATGAATTGTGCAATGCATGTGACCTCTGTCTTTGCTTGGCTAGGGAGACTGGAAACTGGACAGCCCACCTCCTACCTCATTTGACAAAAGAACATTCCATGGAAAATCTTTGATGCTTCCCCATAAATAAAGAGAACTCGGGCTCTTGCTCTCTCTTTCCAGTGGGGAAGCTTGATCCCTAAGATCAGAGAGCCGTCCTATCCCCATCTTCTAAAATTACTTCCTGTGTCCTGTGGTTTCTTTGCTTTCTTAGCTTTATTTCGCAGCCAGCCCATAATGCAGCAGAGGAAACCCAAATTCCACCTCCTGCACAGGACATGGGCTAGACGCTACTTTGAGTCTCACTTTTTTTTTTATCTATGGCTAAGTTTTCTTCCTAATCATATTAAAGTAGATAGTTAGGCAGACACGTGCAAGGAGTTGGAGGAGCAAGCATAGGGCTCACTACATCTTAAGTGACAGAACTTTACATTGGGTGACAGAGAACCCTATTCATAAACCATTTCCTTCACAGCCAGATGCCACCTCCTTAAAACTAAAAAGAACTGGATGGAACCATATTAAGGGACTTTCCAACTGGTGAGAATGTGCAGAACACTGAGGCTGTGTCCTTTGGATGTCCCTGATTCACTGTGATATTATTCATATTGTGATTTTGACCTCCCCATGGCTTTCCCTTAAGTACTAATAGGAAAATTTCTGACATGGCAGAGTTGATGGAAGCCCACTGAGTCAAGGCAGGAAATGACTGTAACCATCCCAAAGAAAAAATTCATGGGTTGGAGGATTCATGGGAGTGGCAGCCTATAAAAACCCACAGTGCAAAAGAAACAAGGCCAAACCCCCTTCACGGCCCACTCTACATCCTCTGAAGTATACTTTCATTTCATTAAATAAGCCCTTTGTACTTGCTTATTCTTGCTGTATATCCTGACTGGAATCTTTCTTTCAGGAAGACAAGAATTGAGGAATCCACAACATAGAACCAAACTGGTTTTTGTTAGTTAAATTCACGTGCCTATAGACACTCAAGAGGGGAAAGCAAATGTTCTTCCTGCACTACAGACAAAAAAGGTCAAGGAATGAGTCTGTGAGCTAAGTCTGAAACTGTAGAGATTAGGCAGGACCAGCTAGAGGCATGGAACTTGCAAAGTTAAAAATTATCAATTTCCTTTTATCCACAAAGTACACAACAAATTACTTATAATAATATTATTCTACATTTATAAAAAGAAGTCTACAAAAAAGATTGCCCAAAGCAGCTCATATAATGTTTTGCATCTTTCTACTTTCATCAGTAACACATAGGGAAAGTATATTCTGTTCACTATCTAGATACATTCAGTAGATACTTAGTACGTGAAATGGTAATGTGACAGAGAAATTAAATTTTTAACATTACTTGATTTCAATTCAACTTCCATGTGTCTGGGGCTACCATATTGGTGATGCAGGTGATGATTTTAAATTGTATTTCCCATTATCAGTTTATTTATAAATAAAGCAATTTTGTAAAGCCATAAAAGATACATACATTTGGCATATCTTATAACAAATTCTTTTCTAGGTTTCAAAAGAGTACAATGTTATGATAGTATAATCTTTCTTTCAAAAATAAGAAAGTGCTAAAAAAAATAAAACTAGGGAAGTGAGAAATTTCTGTTAGGTCAGTCCTCAAGAAAATGAGATCAAACATATCATGACAGAAAAGATTAAGAAAAACAGACATTAAGTTAATTATCCATCAAACACAGGAAGACTTATGAATCTTCCTCTAATGCAATGCTGGGGCTGTATTGATTACAAGGGGGAAAGCATACACCAAGTATTCACTATAATAACCTATGAGAACCTTTACTTAATTAGCATAGTAAAAAATCACATCCTGGTGCAGAAACCTAAGGTGATAATGATATAAGCATCTCATGAAGACCCATGATGAAGGCAAGCTCAGGTGCAACTAAGACTCCACACCTACATGTAATGACACAAAGAAGACAAAGTCCCTGCATGCCCTAGAGATGCTATAAAAGCTGTGCACTTCTCTTAGGGAATCTGCCTGGGAATTCTGTCCTCACCTGCTGCTTCCCTGGTTTCAGAGAATAAAAATAAAACTCTATTGTTATTGCAATATAGTGTTCCTGCCTTGATTCTTATTCTGCAGGCTCAGTAACAAAAGTACCATATGCTTCAGTTTAGGAAAAACAAACTTATAAAAAATGGAAGTGTGGCAAAGTCTAAAAGAAAATGCTTCTATTTTTGTAAAACTGTCCGTTATTAGCTAAACTCAATCTTCTTCCTCAAGCAAAATAAATGTGGTAAATCCCCCAAAATTTAACAAGATCTATGAACAGAATTTATATAGCTTACAAAAAAGAATTATCATTCATGAAGTTAGTTTCATACATTTGTGTTCAAAATCTCCAATAGCACTGGGAAGCCAATGAAAACAGAAACTACTTCAATAACAATGTAAACCCATATAAACCCTTCCAGAAATCCTCCAGGGCTTTCCTATAAAGCAACCAAATATCCCTAGCCATGTATGTGGATATTTGGAGTACTACTTCAACAATTTAGCATTAAAATGTCCTACAAGCCCAGCTCATAGAGCAGGAATTTTCACCTTCTCTTGCTCTTTGCCCTCAGCTATCTCCTACAAGTAAATAAAAGAACCATATTTACAAAAGCATCAGCTTTAGACTTTACTGAGAAACTGAAATTTCAAAAAATCATATCAGCATTTTAAAACTGAAGGTGCTAGCAGATGTTAGTTATCATAAAAGTATTCGTATTATATTGTCCACTATTTTTCAATCCTTCAGATCTCTTCATACTTTATCCTTAATGATTCATATAGAGAGAAACATGAAATCATGATAATCCACAGTTATTATAATCACTAGCGAAAAGTCACTAGCAATCCTGTTAAGGAGTACACTTTTAAAACTCCTCTGGGGATGTTCAATTCTGGTAGGGTTACTGAATCTAGATTTGGAAGCACATCCCCCAGAAAAACTAAAGACGAATGTTTGGGAGAAAGAAAGGCTTTATTCAGTGGCCAAAGAATGGAGAAGAAACAGCTTTGCTCACAAGTCACCTTTTTAGTTCCAGAGCAGATTGACTGACATCCAGGGAAGCCATGCCCATCTCATGAGCTGTGTGGGGGTCATAGGCAAAACAAGTGAAAAGACCAGAGCCAGGCCCACCCAAAAAGAGGGGCAAAGAGGGCGCTCAGTGCTCATAGTTCACACACACACACAGCCCGTGACTGGCTTGCTACATCTCCATATTCTCATCACTCAAGGCTAAGGGGCGTGCACGGTTCCTATCTGGAAGCTCCTGACATGGGAACTATAATGTCCCTATATCATGGTTAGGGGAGAAACATTTCTCAAATGATCAACATGTCTATATACAGGGCTGAGGAGAATCTGACCCAATGGTTAAGGTGACAAAGAAGAGACACAACATGAAGACACACCAAGCAGTTTCATTTCATTCTGTCACCTACTGAACATCTGCAGGCCCAAGTATAGAGTCAATGTTTTCAGCAAAAGTGTCCTTTAGGTGCTTGAAGAGTAACCTAGGCAACAATTATCATAGTAAACCACACCTCAAAAGTGTTATCTATCACAAAGCTGTTAGTTAGTAATTCATAATGGGCAGTGGAATGCAAACCAACAATATAGCAGAGTCATGGGGTTTATTTAAATTGCCTTTAAAACGAATGAATAAGGGCTAGGATTGTAGCTCAGTGGTAGAGCACTTGCTTAGCATGTGTGAAGCACTGGGTTCGATTCTCATCACCACATATAAATAAATGAATGAAATAAAGGTCCATCAACAGCTAAAAAAAATTTTTAAAAAAATGAATAATTGAGTGATATATAGGAAAACAACAGATGTACTAACCCTGAAAATAAATGGGTGGGAACAAAGGGAGCCAATTAAAAAATATGTCAAGAAGGAAAGATGGATGGGGCTAACCCCTGAGATTATTATAAAGTTAGGATTTATGGCCATAAGTTTCTAAATATACACCAAAAGGGAAATTTATGTAGTATTGTAGGTGCACTAAGATTAAGTTTGCTTGGTCATTGTCCACAGTACCCACATTAACATAGGACTGACTTATAATTAGAGCCCACCTGAATGGGATGGTTGCCAAGACAGTTCCAGAAAAGACCAACTAGGGTCCTTTTATTCACATGAATGAAATTAACTCCTTCCCTTTGTCCTAGGAGCCAGTCTGACACTGTGGTCAGTGCAGTATCTCCCTTCTCAAAGTAGAAGGCTAACTTGTTTTTATTTCTGTCATCACAAATTAAAGTTCTGCATCACTTCCAGCATGAACACCCTACCCACCTCAATTCCTACTACCTCACATTCATTTAATAACAGAGTGGAGACACAGCTCCGTTCCTGGTGGAACACAAAACCTAGGTAGCAGGAGTGTCTACAGTTTCTAGAGGAAACAAATCAAGTAAATAGAAAAAGGAGAAAGGAGATGAGAAAAGACTGACGTAGTAAATGATGCAAAGTCCATAAAATGAAAGAGATATTGGGAAATGCATGCAGTTGGAATTTCGTTTTCAGAGGCAGTAAGAAAGTGAGGTTACAGAGATCAGCAAAGGTTGTCAAGAGCAGCATGCCTGCCCAGGGGCTAAGTCTTGACATTGGCCCTCTTGGAAGGGTCCCTACCTTCTCCTCACATCCTGATCCTTCCAGCAGAGGATCTTTGGGAAATTAATGACTCAAATAAATTGATGACTTATTACCAAAGAAGATAAAAGTGTGTTTTTGTAGGGCATTCATGCCCTCTACTCACAGTTTAGCATAATCTTTGCTGTTTTTGTCTTTTTCACTGGAAACACAACAACAGTAAAAAAAAAAAAGTATGGTAAACAGTAAAATTCACCCTCTTTAAGTGTAGTTTTCCAACTTTTGAAAATAGTCTTGTGAGTGAGACCATCAGGATCATTGCCATCACCTCTCAAAGAAAAACCACTTCCCTGCTAAAGTACAACACAGTGACCACAGATAAAAAGTATGTACTGTGTACTTCAAAAAGTTAAAATTTTAAATGTTTTCAACAAAAAATTATAAATGTTAGAGGAAACGAACATGTTTAACCTGATCTAAACATTACACAATGTGTACATGTATTGAAATCTCATCTTGTAGCCCATTAATATGTATAACGTTTATGTTTTGATCTATTAAAAATAAACTTACTTGAGATTTTAAAAATGTTTAAAAATGTACTAAAAAAAAGAAAGAAAAACAAACAAACAAAAAAGAAGGTGAAGGAAAAAGAAAAAACCTCTTTCTACCATAGTCTGTGATAACGACTGGTCTCCTTTCTGTCCCTTTTTCAACTTAACATAAGTCCTCTCTTTAAATAGATGCCAATGAGCACAAAATTCCATGACTATTCTATTTTCCTTTTATTTTCCCACAAAATGTGCAAGAATCTTTCCCAAATTAATCTGTAACAGAAAACCAAAACTTCAGAAAATACATAGTCCAATTATAATTAAAAGGACTGAAACCAAGCACAGTTTATATGTGTGTTGCATCTCAAATTTTCTTAATCTCATCTGTAACTTGGCCAGCAGTTCTCCAGAGGACACTGAGGTGCTCCTTTCCTGAACTGCTCATAATCTAGGGATTTTGCTGCCTAATCCAGGGATGGAGTTTGAGTTTCTTATATCCTTTAAGTTTACTGGGCATGTGACTTGTAAGAAAGCTACCTAGTTAAATCTTCCAAATCTACTTCTCACCTGTAAAATCAATTTAGAATATCCTGTGCTTGCACCACATGGCAGGCACTGGAGGGACAGGAATGAACAACACAACATCCATGAGGTTGTCTCTGAAATCCATGAGGTTATTATGGAGTGTTAATATTATAGATGCAGGGAAGAGGTTAGGCTTCACCACTTAAAACCCTCCACGATGGAGGGAGATCCTCATTGTTATACAAAATTACATATAAGAGGTTGTGAGGGGAATGGGAAAATAAATAAGGAGAGAAATGAATTACAGTAGATGGGGTAGAGAGAGAAGATGGGAGGGGAGGGGAGGGGAGATAGTAGAGGATAGGAAAGGTAGCAGAATACAACAGTTACTAATAGGGCATTATGTAAAAATGTAGATGTGTAACCGACGTGATTCTGCAATCTGTATTTGGAGTAAAATTGGGAGTTCAAAACCCACCTGAATCAAATGTATGAAATATGATATGTCAAGAGCTTTGTAATGTTTTGAACAACCAATAAAAAAAAATAAAAAATAAAACCCTCCACGAATATGTGAGGTCAAACTGGCAGGAAAATTGGTTTTATTCTAAGTCAGCTTTGAAAGCAGATAGAAAAAAACTTTTTGTTTTAAAATTTCCATCTTTAGAGGCTTTACGATGAAGAATGATTTTAAAAGAAAAAAGCAGCAAAACGAGACAAAAAGTGGGAAATATGCATATGTAGATTCAGTTAGCTTGGGCTAGACCAGTCTAGAAAGGGGGCAATCTCCATTCTCATCTTCAGTTGCACTCCCCCAACTCCCCACACCCTGTGTGGGGCAGGCAGCACTTCAACTTTATTCTCACTATGAAAAAAAGGATGCAGAAAAACTTATAAGGAAGTTGTCCTTAATTTCAATGTCATAAGGTTACTTATGAAAAATGTCCCCACTCCGATAAAATGGGAAAAAAAATCAAGAGTACAGGTAGTCAGGAAAGAGTTGTCAAGTGAGGCTTTTGAGGAGTCACCTGAGGGTAGCCATCTGGAGTAGCAGTGCAAGTCCAAGTGCTAGTCTAAAGACCAGCCAAGGGGTTCGTCAGAGGGCCCAAAGAGTGACGGAAATCAAGAGGACAGGGGATAAGTTCAGAGGAAGGGCAGCTAAGGCAGAGCCCACAACTGACCACCTTAATGACTTCAGCTCTGACTCCAAATGAGACTGGGAGGCACCAGAAAGTTCTGAGTGATGTAATTACACTTATAAGGATCATAATAATTTAGGTTGGGGTGGGGATGAAGGAAGGAGACCATATAAGACTACTGTAATAATCCAAGAGGCAAGATGGCAACACTGTACTGAACCCCTCCTCTGTCACATATGAAAGCTCCTGAACATCTTATTTATATCTGTTGTCCTATAGTGCAGCACCAGACACAAAACACTCAAGAACTATAAAAATAGAAGTAGCACCAGGATTCCCAGCTACACCCCTGAGGATGCAGAGATGCAGAACTCTCTCTGTTCCCACAAGAAGGTGAGAGTGGAGGTAGAGAAGAATAGAACTCTAGCAGGAGGAGGATCCTCATTTCCACAGCAAGGTGGGCAGAGGCCCAGGAGAGCCACCACTCTTTCTCCTCTCCATCACAAGGCCAGCACTACCAAACCGGCACTATGGGAAGATGAACAGCAGGAGAGAGGGGTTATTTGAGAATTTTAAAATCCAAAAGTCTAGGGACAAATAAGAGGAACAGGCAGATTTCTAGCTGAAACTCTAAGAATTTACTGGAAGCCACACAGCACTGGGTCTAATATGTTTCTAATGTACATCTACCACATTAAGGTCAATATCCTCTTTCCTACCAGTTTATAGTTCAATAATCATAATCACAGACACTTACATTGTGAACAGAAAATCATAAGTGAATAGTAGCACAACTTCTCAAAAATTCTGATGAGACCTGTAATAAGAAATAGATTTTTTCCATCATAATCCAGTATACAAAATGTGTGTGAGAGTGTGTGTGTGCATGTGCTCTATAAAACCACAGAGGGCTCATAATTATTGAGAGAGACCCTCTAATCCATGAGCATATTGTCTCAAGCCAATGGTGTCTCGTTATATACAAAGGACCATACCATTGCTAGTAGGACTAACAATGAAAAAGACTGAAGTTAGGGGCCCTTCTAAACTTGACAGCAACTTACTCATACTGAGAGTAAAGGCTGAAATGCTGACCCCGCCCCAGCCTAGGGGAAGCCAAAGAAGCTGACTGACCCCTGCCCAGGCCTGTCTAGCATGGGTTATGTATATTGTGAGATAATTTTTTCTCACTTCTCTTTTAGAAGCCTTCCTCACCAACAGTTTTTGGCAAGCCATTCCAGGAGGAAATATCCTGCACTTGAGAAACATAACTCAAGCTGGCAGCATCTCTGAGAAGGAAGTGGCTCAAATGCTCATACCTAGCTGAACCTCTGGCAAGGTTCTCAGGGAAAACCGCCACAGCTGCTGGAGAAATTTAAACCCTGGGATTATCCCTTTCCTTCCTATCTCAGCCTTGACTACCTGAAATGCCAGGGTTTTTTGTTTGGTTGTTTTTGTACAAGGGATTGAATCCAGGGACACTTAACCACTGAGCCACATCCCCAGTCCTCCCTTTTTTGATAACTTTTAATTTTTTTATTTATTCATTTTGCTTTTCACGTAGACCTGAGGACTGAACCCAATATGTCACACATGATAGGCAACCACTCTACCACTAAGCCACATCCCCAGCCCTTTTTATATTTTTGTTAAAAACAGGCACTCACTGAGTTGATTAGGGCCTCACTAAGTTGCTGAGGCTAGCTATGAACTTGCAATCTTTCTGCCTCAACCTCATGAACCACTGGTATTAGAGGCCTGTGCCACCACAACTCACCCTAAATTGCTTTATTGGTAAGGAAAATGAGATTATTGGCTGTGGTTTATAAGCCATACTGGGTTGTCCCATAAGAGTGCACACTAAGGATTTTACCTCAATCATGTGTAGCTTTGTACCTAAATGGGACATTTCTCTATTCACCATTTGGGCTTGAGAGCTTTCTGAGACTTCAGGGAGCAGTTTGGGGCTTGGACAAAGCCATTTGCTTCTGGAGTACTTACTAGTTAGTAAGATGAAATTCAGATGAAAATGTCTCAATAATTATATTGGCCTCGACTTTAAACATGCAAATTTATGACTTATAAACTATTTCCTATATCAGATCAAAAGTCTCACATTTAAAACTAGTAAATGATAAATGTACGATTTAAAATTTTCTTGTATGCACCTATGTAGTTACATGATTATACATTCTTTTCATGGTACTAAATTTAGTTATAGATAAGTAAGACATAACTTAAAACCTGCTAAGTTATCACAGCTGTCTTTTGATTCACATGACTTTAATAAATGTAAAACAAGTAATTTGAATTTGTTAATTATAAGGATATCTTTAAAATCTGGTAATTCTTTTTTTTTTTTTTTTGGGGGGGGGGGAATACCAGGGATTGAACTCAGGTACACTCAACCACTGAGCCACATTCCCAGCCCTATTTTGTATTTTATTTAGAGAGAGAGTCTCACTGAGTTGCTGAGTGGGCCTCGATGTTGCTGAGGCTGGCTTTGAACTCTCAATCCTCCTGCCTCAAATTCCTGATCTGCTGGGATTACAGGCATGCACCACCACGCCCGGCTTAATTATTTCTTTTTAACCAATTGGGATAATTGTCTTTAGATATTTAAGATATAATGTTCAATGCTTTGTATGTCCTTGGGTAATCTAAAGAGAGCTGTTAAAATGAATTTATATGGTATTCTAATATGCAAGATGCTTGACTGACTTAAGATGTTCTGAAGAGCTGTTAAATGTATCTTATGCTATGTTTGATGTCAAAAGTCTAGTTTGCTTCAATAAAATATTATAGAACCTTTTTCACTAAAAGCATTATTACTTTTGATAGTAAACGTAGATCTACCTTTCTAATATGTCATCATCATTTTATTTCTTACAGATTTGTATTATTTTAAATATCTTTTATTTTCTCCATTTTTAATGACTTACATAGGACAAAAATGAGATTTTTTTAAGTTAAAATTTTACCTTATAATATTTTTTTTGGAGGGCTAGACATGCAACTCCCTGGTAGTGGACATGCTTAGCATGTTCAAGATCTTGAGTTCAATCGTCAGCATTAGAAAAAAAAAGTTCATCTGCAAAAGATATGTGGGATTAACCAACAAGTTGCAGAAATAAAACCAAATGAGAAATGATTAGCCCCACATGGCATTAAACTACATTGCAAAATTTCAGTATTAAGATAGCTTGTATACTGTGGGCAAAACTAGATTAACAGAGTAGAAAGTCCAAAAATATAGCTATAAATCATGGGAAATTAGTGTACAGTGAAGGCCAAATTTGAGGTGAAAGGTGTACTAAACAAAAGAATATAAAAAAAAATATATTTTTTTTGGTTTGACCTATGTCTCTCCTATCAAATCGCAGACTTAATGAGCATTAGATTTAAATAACTGCTATTTTTCAAAGCAATGTGAACTTGATGAAGACTTGTTTTATACCATTAAATCATGATTGTCTACGTATTATAGACATCACTAAGTTGTCTTGCTAACTTGCTAAGTACTCTAATTAATATTATCTTATATATTGTTTATAATTATGTTAGATAATATGAGCTCTGTGTCTGGTTAATAAGAAGCAATTCTATTCTATTCATCTCCCATCTCAAGACAGATCTAACGTTAAAGATTTTGATATAAGATATGATACTAACACTAAATAATTTAAAATTTCTTTTCAGTTGTAAAGTTTTCATTTTGAGGTTATACAAAGTACCTCTGAGTGTGTGTGTGTTCTTAATTTGTGTCATGACATTAACTCATGTAGGGTATGTTCAAAATTTTAACAGTACTGTAAAATGTACCTAAATTCTAAATGTGTTATGGAATGTGAGTTAAACTTTCTACCCAGATGGTGATTAACCTTGATTTCCATAAGAAGGACTCTAGCAGACAAGCACCATCTAGTGCAGATCTGACAGGACTATTTTTACAGACAAGTTGATTTCTTTGATTGGATGAAAGTGATAGAACTAATGGTATTGTATTTGTTAATTCAAATCTATTGTACAGACCCCATTTCTTTGCTCTTATTAATAGTGTGTGTGTGTGTGTGTGTGTGTGTGTTTCTGACCTAGAAGCTGATCTTTCCCAAAACCATTTGTTGCTTAAAATTGACTAAAAGGAGGTCTTCTGATGTTGACTCCAACTGTGTCATTAACTTACATGGGACTTCTTAGATGAAAGAACAGAACAAGGTCCCCATGTTGGCAAATAACCAGTAGTAACTTCAGAGGAAATCATTCAGAGGTGGGGAAATCCATGGAGTCATTTGTCAAACATCACTAAAAACATATAGCCAAGGACTTATGAAAAAGAGTTCTTACAAAGACTAATGCTAAGGCCCTTCCCATAAATACAACTATTAAACAGTTCAGAATTTGAGTCCTGAAGGAATAAGCAACTGTTTTGCCTAATGTTCAAGTTCTACACACTGACTCAAAACTAGACTGCCAGTCAGATGACATGGATCCCAAATCCCCACAAGAACTGAGGGGTGAACTACACAGGGGCATTTGAAAAAGTCTAAAATTGGGGTCTCCTCTAAAACTGAGAACAATTTCCTCATGCTGAGACTAAAAGCTGAGGGGCTGCCCCTACCCATGGCCTGGGGGACACCAAGGAAGTTGAGTGTGGAGACTGCCCCCTGCCCAGGACAGTCTAGCACAGACTGACTCAATCTGCATATTTATATCTCCTGCCTTTTTCTCATTTTGCCAGGTCTTCTCTTAATCTTTCCTCACCCTAGAGACTATGAAAGATGATCTGAAACAAACATTAAAAGCTTTTTGTGACTTCCTTCAAAACTGGCTTTGAATGAAACCTAATCCCCTACCAATTTGACTCTGAATATTTGTGGAACAGTGAGGGGTATACTCTGACCTCTTTCACAGGATGTTAATAGCACTGCCTGGTGATAAAATTATTGCTAATATGACTAACATAAATATGGATTTGAAAATCAACTGAACCCATTTACAACTGTGAATTTAATCAGCAGAGAGTAAAATTTTAACTAAAATAAAGGAAGAATATCCCAAATGTTCTGAATATTAAGGGCTATTCTGAGTTTACACAAAGCAAAAAAAATAATATTATTAAATTTAAAAATAATGGGGATCAAAAATATTTCCTAAAACCTTTATTTTTAGAATAAGACTTGCTCCCAAGTGACAGTAAGGGGGGAAAACCTTGTAATTCACAGGGTACTTCAAACATCTCAAAGATAGGATCTCTGAATATCTTCCCAGTACATGCATTCATTTATTAGCCAGAATATAGTTTAATTAAACTACTAAGCTAATAGAATTTTCCTGGTTTCTTACAGAGCCTAATAAATACATCCTCATGTGTACTATTTTATATGAAAACAAAAAAAACCTAAATCCTGCCAATGTCAACTATTTTCCATAAAAGATGGAAACTAAATTGGCAACTACAGTTAGGTTCTCTTTAGTAATAATTATACTAATAGTATGAAACTGAAGGCAATACCAGCCTCAGGAGAGACGCATTTGCTCTGAGTATAGCACAGGGATAGAGTGCTCACTCAGCATATCTGAGGTCCTGGATTCAATCCCCAGAACTAAGGAACCTCAAAAGTAACTTCAAGCAACACACTTAGTATCCAGTTTTCAATACCATTCTAAATTAATATAACCAGAATATATTCATCAATACCTTTAAAATATTAACAAAATTTCTCCTCCACTTGGAGTAACAACTAAGCTTGGGAAAATTTTATCTATCCCATATTCATTCTGCCTTCACACATTTGGAGACAGGCAAGGTTTTTACCTTCACTGAGCCACTCATAACACACTTCCAGAATGGTAATCAGTTGCACCTCCACATCATTTTCTGAAAAACAACTCTGAACTGTCAATTTGTATTTCATACTCACTTTCAAATGAAGATACCAGGTCTTCCAATGAACAAGGACTTAGACTCTTTTTTTCCCACCTTTAAGTGTCCAATACGCAACTAAAAGCAGGGATAAAAATCTTGGCCTCTGTTCCTCCAGTTTGCATCTGTGCCCTTTTCTTTGGATCAGTGACCTTGGATTCTGGGAACAAGACATTTAACTAATAAATGTCTTGCGATGAGTAGAACCTACACTCCCCCAGCAGGCAACAGCAACTTTCATACCTAAGACAAGGTAAGGATTGAACAACTGGACCAATCCTGAGATAATGATCAACCAGACCACAGTGTGAACAAGATGACGTGTATTTCTGGTCACCTTGTCTATATAATCTAGAAACTCATGTCAGTACCCAAGACAGGGCTGGAAACATTGGTCTTCTGTCTCTCCAGGATAGTTACATTAGTTAAACTTACTTTCCTGTTTTTCACCGATAATCTTGCTATCTGTGCTATTTTCTAACAATAGTGCACACAATACCTACCCACTTTTCCTGCCACACAAATTTCCTCACTCAGCCTAATCACACACAGTTTGAGCTCCAGTTTCAGGATGTGTGTGGACAGAGGCAGAGCATTAACAGTCCTTGATATAAGCATTGAGAGGAATCTTGTGGACCTTCCAAACAGGCCCCAAGAAGGAGCCTCCTCTCAACAATAATGTCAGGCATCTGTTCTGTGCAATTCCTGAAGAGCTTTCCCCCAACACCCCTGCCTCCTTTCCAGGTTACCTCCTTTATGAGTCTCCCTGAGACAATCAGCAATCCCCAGGAAAAACAGTGCATCTTAAGAGATAAAGGAGTAGAAACTCTGAGGAAGGAAATGAGACAGTCTCACAAACCCCACACACCACCACCACCACCAAAAAAAAAAAAAAAACAACTCTAGGACAATTAACTCATAGCCTGTTAGCCATTAAAAGCATGGTGTGTGTTTGTGTGTTCTTCCCTAACTACTTCTTCAGTCTTATGGACCACAAAAGCTAGATCCACGGCTGGGGTGTAGCACTTGCTAGATGCTGGGGTTCCATCCCCAGCACTGCAACAATTCCCAGATGCACTAAAGCCAGTATGCCTTCACCAACATATCTCCAAGCATAAACAACACAAAAGAATGAAAACTTTGGCCGCTGTTTGTTCAAAATTGAAACCTTAAGCCACAAAAGGCTAAAGGCAAAGAAACTCTCAGCACCTTTAACGTGTTACTCAGCATAACTTGTGCTCTCTTCTGCCTGATTTGCGTATTCTCTTAACAGCTTCCAGGACTCACACATACCACAAGGTTTATACAGGCTGTGGTCCAGATTGGAGGAACATAAATGCCCCTGGGCTCCAAACCCCCAGGCCCCACTGTTTGCACAGGAAAGGAATACCCTTTGAAACTGTGCCCAAAACCAGTGAAAATTCCTAAACTCCACAAAGCCCATCCCTGCAAACCCCTACACATGATAAAAACTGGTCCCTTTCCTTATTCCAAGAGCCAGCATAATAACTCTTAGAGTTGCGTCTTCTTTCTTGCTTAAGGAGAGGTCCCAATGCAGCCTCCACGTGAATCAGCAATCGCTCGATTCACTTTCCATTTTACAAGTCACAAGCATCAAGCCTACCTCAGTGGTGGCGCGCGGGGCTGGTAGCGTGCGGGGCTCTCCTTTCCTCCAGGGCTCTGGAGACGCTGTGTGTGCGGACCCTGGACACGGCCCGCAGCCGTGGCAGAGCCCTTCCCAAGACCAGAAAGAGCCCACCACGCCCGCTACCCTAGAGGGGGGCACTCACCGCGAGACTGAGGGTGAGGGAACCAGAGTGCCTTGCGGCCTTTCCCTGGCTGGGACACAATCACCACCACCCCAGCGCGGCCAGCCCTGCCCTGCGGAGAGCAAAGCGGAAGGAAGGAGGAGGGCGGGAACCTTAAATGCCAAAATAAACACCAGGACTTGAGAACCCGGGTCACTGAGTGCACAGGCACAATCAAAAACTCCCGGTTTTTTACAGATAGAAAAAGTGAACAGAAAGTGCATGGATGGTTAACAAAGAGAGAAGCAGCATTAAGAGGGAGAAAAGGGGAGGGAGAGGGACAGACAGAGGACATGCGCACAAACCGCGCAGGTCCACTAAAAATTGATGTAGCGGTAACGTTTCCAGGCATTTTACAGTGTGCACTGTCTTCCCAGACATTTGTTTAATTCGGCTTCATACAAGCCTTAGATATGCTCATTTCCTAGATAAAAAATAAAACGAATTTAAACTCCGGAGAGTCAGTAGCTATCCAAGATCTCAAGGCACCAATACTTATACTCACGTACACCTTAGGCAGATTTTTGGGTTGGAGCAAAACTGAAACTGACACAAATCACCTAACTCCAAAACTAGAGGTCGTTGTATTAGAAATAACGAAGAACCACATACACATACACACACAAAAAAAAAAAAAAAATTCAAACACATGCTTAGAAGAGAGTGAGTGGCAAGGCAAAAGTTTTTATTTGTGCCAGAAGGGAAAACAACAGACCCTGGGTAGCTAGTGTGTCTGCTTATATCCCAAGGCAGTACTGCCCTTTACCCTGATTGGAGGAGCTTGGGGTTGGTTGCAATCTATGTGATTGGCTAATTCGGCAAAGGGTTGGGTTATAATTAAAATTGCTATAATTGGATCCAATTAAGGCTGAACACTATATTCTGAAAAAGGGCCACCAGACTTTCTATGGAAACTCAAGGTGCGCTGAGTCCTAGAGTTACGTACAACTGTCAATCAGAGACATCTGAGACAACCCAGGTCCTGTCAAAGGAGAGAAAGTTCACGTTTGCCAGTTAAAGGGCTATTCGAATAAATATGGTTCCTAGCTGGAAGGCATTGCTTCCAGTAGGTGGTGCTGCCCCCAAGGGAATCTGTTGCTTCCCTTTTTCAGAAAGTGATGAGATACTGAAAATTTCAAAACAGAAAGTCAATACATGGGTTCTTACGCACAATAGGAAAAACAAAAACAGAAGGTTTTATATTAATCAATCCATCCAAGGTGCATTTTGGTTTCACGTTAACTGAAAGCGATCAACTTAGTTGTTTAAATAGTTTGGGGAGAGTTCAAACATCCCTCTTTCACATCAGCTTTGTCCCATCAATTGGCTCTGAAATCACAATGTTCTGCCAAGTATATTATACTTGTGTCCACCTCTTGGTGAGAGGTGAGAAGACAGCCTTCCTTGAGGGACAATATGAGTTCTTTTTTTGGAAGGAGATGTCACCTCCTGATCGTCTTCATCTCCAGTATTTCTTCCATGAATGTGAATGTGTTAGAATTCTAATCCTTTAACTTAAGTCCAATAGTTTAAGAAATGATAGATCATGTAACACTTGGAGAAGACTGTTCTTGTCCTATTTTAAAAGGATTATAAAGGTAACAGGGAACCAAACTTAGAGTACTGAAAATCATTCATACTTTTCCTGATACATTACACAAGTTGTGTGTATTGTGTATATTTATTATTAATTGTTTGCTTGAGATGAACTGCCAAACATGCACATGTTGGGATCACTATTACCAACTTCTTTTCTTTAATAATTTTAATTATCTGCATGTTAGATGAGGGAAGAGTGTATGATAGATAACTAAATGGTATTTAATCCCCAAATAATTTAATACAGGATTCAATGTGCATTTTATGATATCTGAAAATTGTTACAGAATTGGATAAGTCTTAATAACCTGATAAGATACAGCATTGTATCCAAAAGAAACATCAAATATATCCCTTCCCCTTGAAGAATTTGATCAGCTAATCATAACATAGGAATTGTAGCATATTACACCTATAATCACTAGATTGCACCACAAGATAGTAGTTGTTAAAGTGCTCAAATTTTCAATAGATGTTTTGTAGCAACCCAGTTAGAGAGGAAGTAGCACCATTATTGGACAGTTGTTAAGTGTCACCACCACCCCCACTCTATGAATTTGAGTTATTTTTATTTATGTCAACAATCTCATGGGATAGCTAATGAAGTTCATAAAGTTTAAGTCAACTGCTCAGGTCACATAGGCAGGAATGAATATGACCAAGAGTCAAACCTTGATTTCATTTTACCTATTGCAATGATTTGGATCTTAAATATCCTCCAAAAATTCTTGTGTTAAAGAATAATTGGTCCTCAACTGGTAGAGCTTGCCCCATTGTATGATATCAGTTCTGAATACCTAGGTTGGTTCTATACCTTTGCTACTCTGAATAGCACTGCAGTAAGCATAAGAACACAGAGGTCTCTTTAATATGCTGATTTCACTACCTTCATGTATGAACCTAATGAGATTGGTGGCTCACACAGTAGTTCTATTTTTTTTTTCCAGAGAACCCTCACATAAAGTAAAGTATTGAAAGTGCAAGCTATTTCTGGGCATGGAGGTACACACTTGTAATTCCAGTGGCTGGCAGGGGGCAGGGGATGGGAGTGTTGGGGGGGGTGAGGCAAGAGGATCACAAGTTCAAAGCCAGCCTCAGCAACTTAGCAAAGGCCTAAGCAGCTTTGCAAGACTATGTCTCAAAAAAAAAAAAAAAAGGGCTGGGGATGTAGCTCAGTGGTTAAGCACCAATAAGTTTCAATCCCTGGTACCAAATAAATAAATAAATAAATAAATAAGGTGTGAGCTATTGAGGCAGTTTTCTGTCTAGCTTAAAGCCCATCCTTCTCAAATGTATATTTATGATTTTTAAGTTTTTATTAGTACATGTGCATATTTGCAGAGGTTTTTCTTTGTTACTCGTACCCTCAATATCTTGGGTATTAATTAAGGACACATTATTACTTTCAGAATTACCGTAGTTACTTTCATCTGCCATCCTGTGTGTACTTTACTTAGTACTAGATTTAGAAACAAATATAGAAAATTCATAGTATTAGGAGGCAAACACTGAATAATAATGAAAGATATTTATCCAATTTACGAAAGTGATTATACTCTCTCATGCCCCTTTTTCTAGCTTCTTC